TTTCAAAAAAAAAAAAAAAATCTTCAACATGTAAAATGATTTGCTTCAAGTTATAAGAGTGTTGATATCAACAAATATGTAGAAATTATATCATCTTTCCAGGTAACTAACTGTAAACAATGTTTTGAAGCTATAACTTCATATTCAAATAAGTATATTCATATCAAACCCAAAACATGTTGGCCAGGCACGCGCTATTTTTTATGAGCAGTGCAAATTAACACTTGCATAGTTTTAGAAATGTTCTATTATCTTTAATGAATTGTCAAGGCAATAAGAATGTCTTCTTCCCTTTTTACAATTCCATTAGCAGTATTTTCTCAATAGAACTTGGGAAACTTTCTATATTTCAACTAGTTAATTAAAACCAGTGATTTACTCTTTTGAAGTTAATTGTCACCATGTAGCTTGTATACCATTAGGTTTTATGTGGCTAATGGATACTGTTTTGTCAATAGTTTGTTTGTTTGTTGTATTTAAGTGAGTCCATGCCATTCATCTCACTCGAAACAGTTCCTATTTTTTCAACCAAAAAAAAGAGTTGTAATTTTTAGGGTCAGATTTGCAGAAGCTATATTAAGAGTTTTTCTAGGCAATGAATTTCATATTGATCAGTAGTATCGAACTAAGCACGGTAATTTTTGATCTCACACACATTTTCCTACTCTTTTTTGCTAAAGTAGATGAGATTTTATGTTCTCCCTTAACAGATTTTGGAGCCAATAGATCTGAGCTTATCGATGATATCTTTTTGCTAAAATAGATGATATTTTATTAAAATTGTTGTTTAAGCCTTATTAAAAGAAGTTTGGTCTAACAGTCATGCTAACTTCATTTCCTTTTTCCTATTGCAGGATGATGGTAAAGGTCTTGTCTGGGTGCATAACAGTAAGCAAGGGTTCCAGGATTGTGAAGCCTATGCTGAATTGGAGAAGTGGCTTGGTGAAAGAGCAGATGAATACCTGGACAAATATGTAGATACAATTCAACTGGTAATCTTTACTATCATGGTTTAAACCTCAGTCTGAATTTTTCTCTCCAAATTAAGCCCTTGCTGATGTTAATATATTTAAAATGAGAGAAGCATATGCATTTTATTTTGTGTCGTCATGTTTGTCAGCCAATCTCCATAACAAATAAGTTTGTTTCTTTACTGTTGAATGTGTTGAGTGATGCAAGTTGTATAGCCATTGCCCGTCGATTTAAGGGTTCTTGGTGCTTCATTGATAAAAATTGTTGAATATACTATTAGTTATTTGTTAACATTATATTGAACGAAAAGGGATAGATAAGATGTATGTAAAAGTTAACTTCCATTTTAAGGTAAGTTATTACTCCAGTTTGTCTCTTTAATTCATGTCCTATAATAAGTTGCACCAAAGCTTACAGCAACTGGATGTCTCATAATGTTATTTACAAAGGCGTTTCGCCTGAGTGAATCTTCATTTTTTTCACTTGAGTGGTTTTCACCAAGCTTGTCTCTTTTAATCTATCTAAATGTACATGGGTTTCACAGTGTTCATTTATCATTTGATTCACAGAGAACCCTGAATTCATTTCAATTATTTTCCTAAGCTATGCATTATTAACCAGATCATTGAATGTTATTCATCGAGAACTATCCATGTAAAAAATAAATTCATGTTGAAGCCTTTGATTTCTAGCCATTGTGATGTTACTTAGACCTATTTTGCTCATTGCATATGTAGCCCTTGTTTGGGCTCCATTTTTCTAAAAATGTATTTTCTCAAAACTCATTTTCAACTACACATTATCCCATAAAATAATGTTATATGTAAACCCTAAACTTTTCCTTATTTTTTAACCGCACATTCTCTGGAAAAACACTACTTCTAATGTTATACGTAAATCCAAAACTTTTTCTTATTTTTTAATCACACATTCTCCAAATAATCACTATTCCAAAATAAAATTTTATCCAAAATCTCGTTTTATGGAGCCGAAACAGGAGCGTAGTTGAATACAAAATACCATCATTACCTCTTCATTTTCTCCATGTCAATTTCAAGCAATAACCTTTTTTATCTGAATAAACAAAAGGCCACTGGGAGCTGTTGAAAATTCCAAATGGTTTAGGGACTTTGGCGAACAAGTTGATACATTTAGCAACTCAAATTACATAATACTTGCTGATAATGATCAAGACTCAAGTAGCTAACTCAGACTCAGATAGTTTTAGACTAAAGAAGTTGGATGTTAAAAGTATTCAGTGGAGGTAGACTGAAGGATGGAAATCTAAAGCACGATATCACTTGAAATAAGAAGACGTTTCAATACTGAAACAAGGAGAACACAACCATTTGAAGTGGGTTGAAAAATATTTGCCTAACTAATCCAAACTGAATGATTTGCTAATTGCATTAAAGCTCCAACTTAGAGCATAATGATATTCTATTGTAAAGAAAACTGCACATCATCACGAAATAAATTGAACTGCTTAACCTCTTATCTAAGATTTTTTTTTTTTTATCATAATACTAATTTATCCAAGGTCTTAATTGGCTGATACGACAGCAAGTCAAAAGACCTGATTGTTGTTTAAGCTTGCTTTCCACTTTATGTCGCATATTTATTATGAAGTAACCATCTATTTGTCGTTTTGTGCATCCTGATGGTTTTAATTTGACCATTGAGAGAGTAATTAGTCATTTGTGCAAAGACCATTCTTAACCTGAAAGTCCAGTAATCTTGCTAATTTCTATTTTTGAGATTTTGAATTTTCTTCTTTTCTGAGTAGTGTGTATTATTGCTTTTCCATTGACTTTCACTTTGAGTCATTTGCTTCAAAGGATGTCTGGCAGGTTCCATTCTTTCGTATGACATAAGATTATCTTCCTTTTACAGAAAAAAGGTAATGCCCTATACAAACCCGACCACGAGTGGGTGCAGTGTGACAAATGCAGAAAATGGAGGATGTTGAGTCCTGACTTTGATAGCAAGACTTTACCATTAGAATGGTATTAGTTCTGGCATTATCTGAAACCTCCTTTTCTGTCTGTCTCTGCAATATTTTCTTGCTTATCAGGTTTCAAGCGAAATAGTTACTAAGTTCTTTCGAAAATATAAGTTGATAAACTGTATGATTGTAGCAGTATGATATTATGGTTTTATTGATGTCTAAGATCATCACTTTCTGTCATGGAATTCCATGCTTGTTATTCTTCAATAGTTGGTGAGATTGGACACTTATACTGAATTTTGTAATGCCGATCCAATTATGAAAATAAGAAGCAACATGTTTTTCCTGGAGTGATGAGAGGGTATCACATACATAGTAATAATAGAACTATATAATGCCTCTTTTTAAGGAAATAAGTGGATCCTAATATGTCAGGCAGATCCACTTATCAAGAAAACCAACGGATAATTGGATCAGCCTGTTCATCTCAATTTTCCGATAGGGTCTGTGTTATGTTGTTCTCTTTACAGTGTGCGTGTAGTTCTAGTACTCATTTATACACTGTGATGTTACTCCTATTGGTTGTTTTGACTTATATGCCTGAGTTTTTAGTTCCCATTTCTTTTGTTTCCTATATACTAGAAGATAATATCGCGGGCCAACTTAAATGGATCCATAATGGAAATGGTTGCTTATGTTCCTCAAGTACATAGTTTATGAGGTCATGTAACTTATATAACTGGAGGTTCCAATATATTTTAAAGTAACTATTTTCCACTTTTCTTTATGTAATTTTTTTAATTTTAAATTGTATTTAGGTTCTGTTATATGAAGCCTTTTGGTGGAAGGTGTGAAATGCCTGAACGAGAGGTTGAACGTGGAGTCATCACAATAGCTTCCAAGCGTTCTGGACACAACTGCACTATTGATACAAAGGAGCTTACATGTGAACTTCCTCAAAAACCTACAGGGAAATCAGAAGGTAAGACCGTGAGAGTGACTTTATCAATCAATTACAAAGTTTTATCATGATTGCAATACCTTTTTGTGGAACAATTCATGGATACGCTAGGAGATAGCCTGCTGCTTAGGCATGTCCCAGGGGTAAACCAATAAATCCATTTTTCTCAATTGTTGAATGCAAGTCCACTTTCATTATGATGATAAGAGATCTTTTGGTAGACATAGAGGTGGATACACAGAGTGATCCAAAATTACTGGTGTATTTGATCTCAAAATTATTGGAAATAAAGCTTAGTTTGTGTTTGTTGCATAATGTCTAGTAAGGTCGGTGTGGGAATGCCAATATTAATCCAAATTTGGTGTTAAGGACATTGGTGAATAGCAAAGATTTACATAAAGGAGTTTAGGTACAAGTTAAAGAATACTATGTGGGGAAATAACTTGGCCCTGAAAAAAAACTATCGAAGGCTATGATAGCAGCTATGCGTGGAAGATCAGAACTCCTTTTTGTAACTACAAATAGTGAACAGAAAAAAAACAGTGTACTGATGCAGTGGAGAAGCATTGGCAGTTATGGACTGTTGGGATCATCCAAAGGCACATAGCTCAGGTGGTTGAGCTTGTTGGCGCACAGAGTGGCGGGAAACAGCCTCGGGCTGATATTTAATTTTGTTGTGCATTTTATTTATTTTGTTGTTAATAATGTTGGTGGTATTGTCTTTATTGATGTCATAAGATTTTTGTTAGGAGAACCACTATGGTTTCTTCGAAGGTTGCTTTTTCTCAGTATATTGTGAATTAATGAGTTCTCAATTGTGTGTTCATCTTTCTTTACATGCTTTCCCTGCATCATACGCCTTGCAACCTTAGTCTTGTTAGAGCCTTGCACATGAAGAACTTATTCATGTGTGCTGAAGTATCGATGGGAAATAAACTTGCATCCTCCCCCTCTTTTTGGTGTTTGAGACGTGACATAGCCTGCAGATTGCACCAGCTTAACATTTGCTTTTAGTTTATTGAAATAAATCAGTTGAATCCTTATTTGTATGCCTTCTCTAAGTTTGAAATATATAGTCTCCTAGTTCACAGTGAAGATTGTGGATGGCTGGCTTAAATTTTCTGATTTTGACACTGTTATACAGGTGGTGGTGACAAGGGGTCAAGTTCTAGTGAAGAGGATGATGACATTCAGTTTTTTTCCAAGAAGCGTAGGTTATGTCCACCAAGGAGTTGTAAGAAGTGTTAACTCTGTAAAATGCCTTGCTGTTTAGATTTTAGAACTACAGGGGTGGCTATACCTTGTAAAGAACACTTCAGTATTTGTTCCTCGTATAGATCATTTTCAGGTGTATGGAGCACGTTTTCTAAAGTGTGTTAAGAGAAGAACGAGAATGAGATATATTATTGTACAGGTTTCAGTACTCGTCTTTTGCTTTGAAACCTGCGATTTTTTTACTAACAACCATATGGCTGCTGAATGTATTCTACAAACTGAAAATACCACAATAGGATTATCTAAGGTTTATTCTTGATCTAATTTATAGTGACATTATTTGTTAATGAATAGGTAGACAAAAGATAGATACTATCACTAATTGTCTATTACTGGAAATTTGATAATGAATTAATGCAATTGCTTTAGGGAAGAAAACACAAGTCAGGGCTTAGCGAAAATGTTTAAAAGTTCAAAACTCATGATAAATAATATATATTATATCGTTATATATTTAATAAATATTCATACTAATATCTCGATCAACTCCAAACTCTCTCTAGAGACTTGCCCAGGCAAAGTCATCGGCATTCACCTATCATCCCTTCCCACACCATGGTGGTAGTATATATGGTGGTAGTACAGATCTAGATAAAGGTGTTCGATTCAAGATTCATGAGTACATCATCTCAAGGGTAGCAGTGTGTTTAGATTTTTAATTTAGCAAAATATCGATGAGAATTTACATATTATCTAATTGAACTTCAATTTGGACTATCGATTTGCATCAGATTGATTGAAGGAATGACATTTTTTGTGATGTGATTTGAACTACTGTAGAGAATTGATATGTCAATAAAATGTAAAATTGATTTAGATGTTTGATTTATCATCAAATTCAGTGTAAATTTGTAAATATTTTGCACTGATTTAAATTACATGTAAATTGTTATTTGCGATGTTGATCCAATGATCTCAGTTATTTTGGATTTGTGACCTTTGGACATTGATTCGTTACATGTAATATTGATCCAATGACTCGTAACCAATTCTCTTGGATTTTTGACCTGTAGAAAGCAAAATGATGTGTGGCATGTGAACTTGAATCTGTGACATTATCGGTGTTCAAAGACATGTAACATCTGATCCGTGATCGGTTAATATTAATATATAACTTAGTGACATTTGTTTGTAACATATACATTATGACCTGTGGCTAGTGAATGACGATCTGTGACTATGAACCGTAACATGTGACCTGTGAATTATAACCCGTGAACATAAATCAATGGTATGTGAACAAATCTATTTGATTTGTGACATATGGACATTGTTCTGTGACATATATATAATGACCCTTGACTTGTAACAAGTGCACATTGAACTTTAACACCTGAAGTATAACTTGTAACGAGGAAAACCTGTGAAGTGTGCAAATTGGCCACGTATTATTTCTCAGTCACGAATCACAAATTTTATAAGTAACAATTTCTTTATCGATCACAATTTATCAAATTAATAGGTCATGTATCATTCTCCAATAACAAATTATCTGTTCAATTACATGATATTTATTGGTCACAAACCCTCTTTGCACACCCCAGTCCAATCCAATCCAACCCAACCCCAGCACCACCACCATCACTACTGAACTACAACAACCTCACCACCACCACCGCTGCCACCGCTAACACTGCCATCTCGAAATCTGCTAGAGAGAGCAAATTGCAGCGAGGTATAGATTGCGACGACCAACATTATTACTTACCTATCCACGTACAAACAGGTGTAAAGGAGGTAAAGAACGTATAAAGATTGCAGTGATGAACCGATTAAAACAAAGAACAAATTACGGTGCGGTTGAGCGTAGCGGTGCAATGCAGACGAAGACGATGATTTTTATGATATGATGAACATGATGATGACGAAAATGACATTGGAGATCTTCCATGCGCATAGTGCAGCGGCGAGCGATGATGACGATGGTGGTCAAGTGTGATGGAGAGTATAGAGAAAGACAGAAGAGCGTGGAGCTGATTAGGGTTTCAATGGGGTGGGTATATAAATTAATTTATGATATTATCTGTTAATATTAAAATATGAAATTATCACCTGATTTTTGGATAACCAAACCTTAAACCTATTTTTTGAATTGTAATATTTAAAATTATGTGACTGTGTAATTTTCACATTGTTTTAGGCATAGTTATTAAAAAAGATCTAACTTGTCGCGTTGACCCAAAAATTGGTGAACTAGCCAGTTAGTTGGTCGATTTCCTTAATGAACAAAACAAGACATTAATTCACAAAAAGTTAGATTGTCTCAGTAAAACTGCTAGATTCGATAACCTAAAAGTAGCGGTTTAATTGAATTATTAATCATTAATTTTATGTATATATTTCTAGCTCAAAATTAAATATTAGGAAATTTTTTACCGAACTATTCCATTTCTAACTATGCAGTGTTATTAATACCTTCAACATTTTTTTTAATCATAATTCATTTCAACCTTTCAATTATGTAGCAATATTCGTCCTTTTGTCCATTTTGACTATTGAATGATGGATTTTTTTTATCCTCTTTAAATAAATAAAAATAAAAGTAAGCAATAATCAACAAAAAATAAGGTAAATTACAGTGGGAGTTTCTTAACTTTTCAAAAAATAAAAATAAATTACACTTAATATAATTAAATAATAATTAGCATAACAAAAAATAACTTAAAAAATAAATATTTCATCTTCCAACTCAAGCTCGCCCGTCCACTCTTGCCTAATCTTACCCATAGAAACATAATCTCCACAAATAAAATCGCATCCGTGGAAGCATCGCCACCATTTATGTACATATTCCAATCATGGGGTTAGGGTGGAAGGAGTTTGGTTGTTGTGCATATTCCAATCTTGGGATCCATTTCTCTACCAACAAATAAATAAAAAGAGATAATTGCAGTCACGGCTCCAAACATTTACAGTCTTTGTAAGTTTAACTTAACTTTTCATTTGTAACACCTGTGGTCCCAAACTTTTGAAATGCTTGCAAATGGAAGACAAATAAATGGTTTCAATCCACTTTCCCTTTAGTTGATCAAAAAATTAAGTTTGACCACATTTTTAATAACTTTTAAAAGGTAAAAGGATAACTTTCTAGTTATAATATTAAACAATTAAAATAATTAAAAACAAAATTTAAAAGAAAAGAAAAGATTATCTTCTTTACCTAACCACCAACCACAAACCACCCCAACATAAAAGAGTAATGTTATTCATCCCCATTGAGATTACAAATACAGTTTAGTGGCGTTAATGTGACATTAAATGATAAGTGAAATTTAATAAGTCATTTAACTTCACCTTTCATTTAACCTATCATTTAGAGCCACTTAAACTGTGTTTGTAACCCCATTAGGGATGAATAACATTACTCAAAATAAAAAGGGGTCACCCAGATCTCTGATCTGAAGGCGTCGATGCAGCACGATTTGAGTTCGGCTGCTTCATCCTCGTGTTCGAAGCTTTGAGAGTGATAGTGTCATCTCCGGCAACATGATATAGCAGTGGTGGCTCTGGTTAGATCCGGCGAGTTCAAATGATGATGGGTTCAGATGGTACGGCGGTGGTTTTGCGGTTGCGATGCAGTGTGGTTGGGTGTGGTGCGGTGGTGATGAACTGTGGTGCGGTGTTGGTTCGTGGTGATGTGCAGTGCGGTGGTGATGAATGTGGTGCGGTGTTGGTTCGTGGTGATGAACTTTGGTGGTGTGCAGTGTGGTGGGATGGGGGCGGTTAGGTTCGATGGTGCTGTGTTCGATGATTTGGTGCGATTGTGTGGTTGGGGTGCTATGTGCGGCGGTGGTTGTGAGGTGGTGTTGACCAGTGGTTGGGCGCGGTAATGATGGGCTCAGATTGTTTGTGTGGTGGCGGTGGTCTGTGAGATCAGTGGTATGTTTTGGTCGGGAGGTGGTGGTGGTTCTGGGGTGGCGGTGGCGGTGGTGCTGCTGAGGCAGTGGTGAGGTGGTGTCGTAAATATTGGTGGTGGTCACAGATTATTTGGTCGTTTGTGACCGATAAACAATATGTAACCAATTAAAAATATAAATTGTGACAAAAAAAAGTAATTTATGATCTAAAAAATTATTAATTTGTGATCGATAATTTGATAATTTGTGACTATCTACTAAGTTGTAATTTATAATGTTTGCGATTTGTAATCGATGAACAAATTGTGACCGTAAAATAATTTGTGACCTATAAAATTTCTGATTTATGATCGTAAAATAATTTGTGACTTATAAAATTTCTGATTTGTGACCGATTAACAAATTGTGACTTATGAAATTTTTGAATTGTAACCGTAAAATAATTTGTGACATCTAAAATTTGTGATTTGTGACTAATGAATAATATGTGACTTATTAATTTGGTAGATTTGTGACCGATGAATAAAATGTAACGTATAAATTTTTTATTTGTGATCGATGAACAAATTGTGACTTATAATTTTTTTTAATTGTGATCATAAAATAATTTGTGACATATAAAAATTATGATTTGTGACCAATTATATAGAATTTGTGATCAAATTATATGGAATTGTGACATTAATATATTTAGTTAATAAAATATATATTTAATTAATTATTTTATAAATAAATTTTAAAAAACTCTGAAATTTGAAATTTGAAATATAATATCTTAAATTTGAAATTGGTAAAACTAAACCTCTTAGTTATAAAATCTTCCCTTATTAATTTGTCATGTGGGCCTACATATGTAATTAATTGTATATAAGAATATCTTAAAGTTGAGCCTAATTAAAGTGATCTAATAATATATTAAATTGTTGGGATTAGAGTATCTAAATAAAGTGTGGGCCGGATTATATGTGTAGAGACCGGATCCATTAGAGTTGTATTTGATAATAAGCTAATACATATAGAAACTATAAATAGGGTTATGGTCCCCAATTCATACGCAACTTCTCATTCTTTGTGTCATCCCATCAACACAAGAATACAAGAAAAAAATATTGAAGA